AATGAACATTTACAGAGATTTTGGGTTTTCATTCATTCATTGTTGCACTGTTTTCTCTACCCTCCTCCCCAGTTCGTTCTTCTTTCCCCACCCCCCTTGAAAGTCTGTTGGAGGCAAAGATTTTGAAGCACTGTCTCATATACTTTGAGGACTCATTTCTTGGAGAAGGATATCCTACGTGGATGGGGGAGGAACCATGCAGGAGAGGAAGGCCTTGGATGAGCTGAATGGACACAGTAATTGGGGTAAAGTGAGTAGGTGTGTTGGAGACAGTGAGTTTGTCTCAGGACAGCAGAGGGTTCAGAGCTATTGTGCCTAAGGCTACTATGAGTTGCAGTCAACTCAACAGCACAGAGTAACAAGTAAATCTTGCTGAAGATTATTCAAAAATAGATAGAAGAGTCCATTGTTCTTAGGACTGCCAGAAATTCAAGCTGGATTCAAAAGTGACAGTGGCATGAGAAGTATCATTGCTGATGTCAGATGGCTCTTGGCTGAAAGCAGAGAATATCAGATGGATGTTCAAATAAGGTTTGCATGCAAAGGCATTTGACTGTGTGGATCATAACAAATTATGAATAACATCAAGAAGAACGGGAATTCCTGAACACTTAATTATGCTCATGCAAAACCTATAGAGTAAGAAGCAGTTGTCAAGACAGAACAAAGGAACACTGTATAGTTTAAAATCAAGAAAGGTCAAGGTTGTATCCTTCCACAATGCCTATCTCATTTGTATGCTGAGTAAATAATTCAAGAAACTGAACTATATTAAGAAGAATGTTGGCATCAGGATTGGAGGAAGATTAATCAAGAACCTGCTCTATGCAGATGACACAACCATGCTTATAGAAAGTGAAGAGGGCTTGAACCTTTACTGTAATAGATCAAAGACTACAGTCTTCAACATGGATTAGATCTCAATACAAAGGAAAAAAGTCCTCACCCCTGGACCAATAGACAACATAATGATAAATGGAGAAAGATTGAAGTTGTCAACTATTTAATTTTATTTGGATCCACAATCAATATCCCTGGTCGTAGCAGTCAATAAAAACAAAAGATTATGTTGCACTGGAAAAATCTGCTTTCAAAGACTTCTCAAAAAAAAAACAAAAAAACTTCTCCAAAGTGCTAATGAGCAACAATGTCAGTTAAAAGACTACAGTATGCCTGATTCAAGTAATGATATTTTCAATTGCTGTCTAAGCATCTGAAAATTGAACAAAGAATGACAGAAGAATCGATGTTTTTGAGCTGTGGTGTTAGAGATGAGTACTGAATACCCCATGGACTGTCAAAAGAACAAGGAAGTTCATCTTGGAAGAAATGTAACCAAAGTGCTTCTTAGAAGCAAGGTTGGTGAAATTTCATCCCACATACTTTGGAAGTGGTTATCAGTTCTTGGAAAAAGACATCATGCTGGGAAAGGCAGAACATCAGCAAAAGCCCCTGAATAAGATGGACTGACACTGTGACTGTAAAAGTGGGCTTCAGCATGTAGATTGTAAGGATGATATAGGATTAACCATAAAACTGCTCTAAAAAGAGAATTACAAAGTGACCAGAAACTAAAAAGCCACTAAGGTTTCCAACAAATAAACAGCAAGAGGAAAGAATTCTGAAAGAAATTTGTAGTTAAGAGAATAAAGGAGGGCGCTCTGGTGGCCTAGTGGCAAGATGCTGCACTGCAATCCCAGAGGCGTGGGGTTCAAATTCACCAGATGCTCTGCTGGAGAAGGAGGGGCAATCTCCTCCTGTACCAGTCAGATCTGATTTGACGGTACACACACATAAAAAATAATAATAAAAAGATAATAAAAGGATGTGAGGGAGCCCTCATTGTGCAATGGTTAAGCAGCCAGTTTGGCAGGTGGTTCAAACCCACTGACCCTTCTGTGGGTTCTGGAAAGATTAGTCTTGGAAATCTTATGGAGCCGTTTTACTCTGACCTGTCATGTTGTTACATGTTAATGCACTTGATGGCAATGGGCTGGTTGGGATGTTCCAGTGGGTTTTCAGAGGCTGTATACCACGTAAGAGAATGCTCATCTTTCTCCCATAGAGCAGCTGGTGGATTTGAACTACCTGCCTTTAGGTTGGTGGTACAATGCTCTCTCTTGATCTGGGTTGTTGTTGTTGTTAGGGGTCGTAGAGTCGAGTACAATTCACAGTGACCCTATGAACAACAGATCTGAACCCTGTCCTATCCTGTTGTCATCCACATCATCTCTGACACCCTTGAGCCCACTGCTGGAGTTACCATGTCAATCCATCTTGTTGAGGGTCTTCCTCTCTGTCACTGACCCGGCACCTTTCCCCACATGATGTCCCTCTCCAAGGAAGAGTCCCTCCTAACAACATGCTTGAAGTACGTGAGATGAAGCTTCGCCATTCTTGCCTCCAAGGAGCAATCTGGCTGCACTTTATCCAAGACATGTGTTTGTTCTTTGGTAGTCCATGGGCTATTACAGTGCTCTTCTCCAGTACTTCAACTCAATTCTTCTTTTTCTGTCATCCTTATTCATTGTCCAGCAGTCAGACACACAGCAAGTGACTGAAAAGACTATGGCCTGCATCAAGCGCACCCGAAAATATCACTGCTCCTCTAGAGTTTGGAGAAGTCCCTGACAGCTGACTTATCCAATGCAGTATGTCTTGATTGTGGATGCAAGCAAGATGAAATTGTTGACAATTTCAATCTTTTACCCATCGACAATGATGTTGCCTCTGGGTCCGGTAGTGAGGACATTTGTCTTCTTAATGTTGAGAAGCAATCCATATTGACGTCTATGGGCTTTGATCTTCTGCAGCAAGTGCTTCAAGTCCTCCTCACTTTCAGCAAGCAGGGTTGTCATCTCCATAATACAGGCTGTTGATGAGTCTTCCTCCTATCCAGATACCACATTCTTCTTTAGAGTTGAACTTCTCAACTTATATGATCAGTGTACAGATTGAATAGGCATATTGTTGTTAAGTACTGTAGAGTCATAGACGACCCATAGTGACTCTATGAATTAAAGTCTTGAACCAAAACTTTCATGTTTTCTCCAAGTTCATAAGTTTCCGGACGCAAGCTATAACCCTGACATATACTTTTCCCAATTTTATTTTTGTTTCTTTCTTTTCTTTTTTTTTTTTTAAATTTCTTGTGTACTGTTGAATTGGATCCAACTGGCATAGGAGATTGTCCCTCCTTCTCCAGTGGAGCCTGTGGTGGATTCGAACCACGCATCTTTGGGACTGCATCAACTTTTCCCAATTTTAAACAATGCAGTATTCCCTTGCTCTTTTCGGATAACAGCTTCCTGGTCTAGGTCTAGGTTTCACATGAGCATAATTAAGTGTTCTGGAATTTTCATTCTTCTCAATGTTAGCCAGGGTTTGTTATTATCCACACATATACTTTTTTTTTAATTAAATTTTATTAGTTTTAATGAACATTTACAGAGATTTTTGGGTTTTCATTCATTCATTGTTGCACTGTTTTCTCCACCCTCATCCCCAGTTCGTTCTTCTTCCCCCCCCATGTCTGTTTTAATTGTCCAATTGCCACAGTGCTTGTCAAAGCCAGTCCTGACCAATCTCCTTTGTCAGTGTGTCCCTTGGCATTCCCTATCACTCCTCCCTGAGAGAGACTTCACCCTGATTCATAAGGAAAAGGGGACGGCGTATTCTTTTACACAATTAAACACAAATAGCTATTCTCTTAATATTCTCTGCTTTATCAGGATCCTGATGCTGACATTAGCATTGATATCCCTAGTGCCACCGCCTCTTCTAAACCCAGCCTGAACTTCTGGCAGTTCTCTCTCAACATACTGTTCTAACCATTTTTGGATAATCTTCAGAAATATTTGCTTGCAAGTGATATTATTTGATTATTTCCACATTCTGTTAGATTGTCC